AGCCAAATGCGGCCACTATCCCGGCGCAAACGCCGATTCCTCTTATGGATGTTCTGCAGAACAACATGGTAGGCTGTACGTTGTACAGCGCGCTCGACTTGGTCGATGGATACTACCAATTGCTCATGAGAGCGAGCGACATCCCGCTGACAGCGGTGAGTACTCCGAGCGGTATGCTCTGGAAGTGGCTGGTGATGCCCCAGAGGCTGTCGAACGCACCAGCATCGTTCAATCGTCTTGTGACGCAGTTGTTTAGGCCCCACCGGGCGTACGCTCAAACGTACTTTGACGATATATTCGTCCATAGTCGTGCCGAGCACGGAAAGTCAGACGAGGATAACCACATTGACCACTTGCGAGCGGTGCTCGAGTGCATGCGCACTAATAAGTTGTATGCCAACTTGGACAAGTGCGTCTTTGGCGCGGAGGAGATACCTTTCCTCGGGTGCTTCATTGGGAAGCGTGGCTTACGGGCAGATCCTGCCAAAGTCAAAGCCATCGTAGACTGGCCGGTTCCCAAGAACCAAAAAGACTTACGCAAGTGGCTAGGCTTAGTCAATTACTTGCACAAGTACAGTGCGAACTACGCGGAGATGGCTCGGCCATTATCAGATCTCCTTAAGAAGGACGCACCATGGTGCTGGAACGTCGAGCACGACGGAGCCTTTGAGGCTGTGAAGAAGAGCCTCCTCCAGGCTCCGATCCTTGCGCTACCGGACCCGGATAGTCCGTTTAGCGTCGTCTGTGACGCCTCCGATTTTGCAATCGGTTGTGCTTTACTACAAGCAGACGCCGAAGGGCGTGAACGCGTGATCGCGTTTGAGTCTCGCCAGCTCAAAGCTGCAGAGAAGAACTATCCAGTTCATGACAAAGAGCTACTTGCAATGAAGTATGCTCTAGTCGAGAAGTCGTATGATGCCGTGAAGCCCAGTTTGTTGGTAGCCTTGACGGGTGAACACACTGACTCCTTCACGTCACCGGAGCGGAACGGCACGTTCACAATAGCAGCCGAAGATCCGAACTTCTCAACAATTCGCTCCGCAACTGATTTGACCGTGGATTTGATACCCGTGCACACATTGAAGACGTCGAATTCGTCGTCTCCCAAGAGCATTGCTGTGCGAATGGCACGTGCCACATCCTTCACATACACGAAGTCACGGTACTGCTCGCCATCGCCAGTCACCTTCAGAGTACCGTTGATCTTGGCCTGTTCCATGAACCACGAGACGACGCCGCTGTACGACGAGTGTGGGTCCTGGCGTGGGCCATACACATTGAAGAAACGCAGCGCCGTTGACGGAAGACCGTAGTCCTCATTGAACTGCTTCATCAATTTCTCCATTTGGAACTTGGTCGTGGCGTACGCGCAGATGCCACCAGTGGCGGTTTCTTCACTCAATGGAAGGCTCTCAGGGAGTGGGGTACCATACGTGGCAGCAGAAGAAGCAGCAACTACACGCTTGACGCCGTTCTTGGCGGCCCAGTCCAGCACCTTGCGCGACCCTTCGACATTAATGCGCTCGTACTTCTCGGGAAGACGAGTGCTTTCCTCTACTGAGATTGCGGCAGCAAGATGCACCACGTAATCAATCTGTATCAAAGGACATATTAGGGATTGTCTCCAGCACGAGCGAAACATGCGGAATGCCACGCACCTTGTGGATGATGAAGGAAAAGTCGTCCACCACTGTGATATCCTTGACCAGTACTGCTGCCGCGCCACGGTTGAAGTTTTTGCCGTTGCTCATGTCGTCGTACACAACCACCTACACCAGCATAACAGCATTGTCAACATTCCGTTCATAGATCCTATTTGGATCGGCTCTGATCAGTTGCTCACCTCAAAGTTGTTGGCCAGCAGGTCTTCCACTACATGGCTGCCGATGAAGCCCAGCCCTCCTGTGACTAGCACTATGGGTTTGGGGGACGCGAAGTGGCGGAACACAGGCGTCATGGCGCTGCGGCCACCGCTGGTCTGGTAGTAGCCTCCGCCGAAGAGCGCGCCAACCGCGAAGATGGCCAGCGCCCCCACGTACACGTAAAATTTGGGCAGCAGCAGCCAACTCGTCTCGGGACGGCCATTGCGGCCGTGACGCGTGGGCAGCATCGTGTATCTTGGTGGATCTAGGCTCGCTTGGCGCGGAAGAAGTCACGCACTGGCGTTCAGCGAAAAGACAGACAACTCAGCTCACTTCGATGCTTTTTTGCTGGCTGGTGGCAAGAAATGTACCGTACTCTAGCGACAGGCGGTGGCGCTAGCCCATCGAAAAGACGTGCAAATTCCACGCATCAAAAAAAGGATTTCATTCCACCAAAGTTTGTACAGTACGCTCGATTTCTCGAGATTTTATATTGCAATGTAGTTTGCAAAATGACTATCAAATACATGTATACTACTACATGTGCATGTTGTGTCTCCGCAGAGCTGAGAACCTCGCTTTCACCACGTCCGACAATTTGTCGGCGACAAACTTCAGGAAGATCGTCATGGTCGGCAACTCTACATATTGTACTACATGTAGTAGACTACTGTACAAGATGAGCTACTGCACAGCGTGTACGAAATGAGCGCCAACTTCGCATGTATATGCGCAATTGGTGCTTCAATTAATATCTGTGCTGTTCGTTTATTTTCTCGGTCTTTTTATTATCATTTGCAAAAGCCAAGCCGCACCGTTGCAGTTTTTGAAGACATTGGCTATCTACTTACAATGCAACCAGTGTCTCCCGGCTGTCTTGCATAGTGAGTGTATATAGTTCACACCTCCTACAAAGTCATGAACCAGTCGCGAGTTTCGCCGATACCCTTAGGGAAGTCGTAGCTTGCAGTGAAGCCCAGCTTGGTGGATGCCTTCACAGGCGAACATACCGACTCCTTGACATCACCCTGGCGGTACGCAATGTGCGTAATGTCAGCCGATGAGCCGAATTTTGCCTTCACAGCGACGGCAACGTCGTTGATTGAGGTCTTGACACCGGTGCAGACATTAAACACGTCAAAGTCGTCGTCTTTAAGAAGCATCGCCGTTCGGATGGCACGTGCCACATCCTTCACGTACACGAAGTC